AAAGGATAATAAAAACCCGTTAATTGACAAGGCTCCTACTTTTTACTTCCTTTTTTAAACTACGGCACATAAAAATTCACAATCATGACGCAAATGAAATATTCCATAGTGTCCAGAGAGCGAGATCAACGTGTTGAAAGTTCGGAACCGGCAATTACTGGTAGTATAGGAGGTGGTAGTGTGAGCAGTGGTGGAATTGTAGGCACATCTGTCGCTACATTTCGTGGCTTCCGAAGTCACAGTCCTTCAAATCGGAGAAGTCGGGAACGAAATCGTAGAGAATTTAACCGCACACATGGTTCGGATCAAGGTGGTTTGTTAGCTTATAGCGGTATGGGTGGTGGATTACTAAGTGATATAAGTGCAATGGACAGTGGTGGTAGTGGTAGTGGTGTGACTATAGAAGATTCACGTTTATCAGGTGTGTTAAAAAAAATATTCAAAACATTTAGATTATTATTTATAATACTAATAATTTGCTAAATGTACTTATAGGCAATGAAGATCTTTGCTATCAATCATTTGCATCAGATGACGTCGATGGTAATCCGCCCAGTTCTTTAGCTGACAACAATAAAAAACATCATCGCCATCATGAACGCACTTCAAGCCTACAAGCAATTGATCGGCTTAACACAAAAATTCAATGTACAAAAGAGTCCATAAGAAAGGAGCAAACTGCCAGGGATGGTAAGTAATATATAATATTTTTAATTTAATATAAACAAGTGTTATATAGGTGTATCAGAGTAGGACATTTAAAGAACTTCAAGTTTCGAGAAATTACTTAGAAACTAGCATTAAAAATAATACCAGTTAGAAGAAATTTTATTATTTAAAACATAGAAAGTATTTTTTATAGTACATTTTATCGTTCGTGTAGATCTCATAAAGAGATGATGTGCTAAATGTCGCCTTCAGACTTCTTAAGAACGACAACTTTGTTGTAGTCCAACTTTGGATTCATAGTAAAAGTAAAATTTTACTGCTATTATAGTTGAAATTAATATTAAGATCCTTAATTGCTAATTTTTACACCAGAACTATCTCGACCAGATAAGATCTCGGGTCAATACACATCACTGAATAGATTGCATGGCCGTAGAAATAAATACATATGTTCATAATTTTACCAGAGAAAAATAAAAATACGGCGATAATGTTAAATTTAATTTTTTTAATTCTTCATTAATTTATCTTTTATAATTCTATTAATATCAACATTATTAAAATTAGTTGTTACCATATGTAAAATATTTTATTTTTAATGTGATGACTAATGGTACTGGATACGAGTTTTTTGAACCAGTTCTACAAAGAAATATGTATTAAAGTCATTGTCAATTAAATAAATTAACGTGAAGTGTAATCAATTATTTAAAACATTTTAATTTATTTATTTGGGATTCCATAAAAAAAAATAATATAATGTTATCAAAATACAACAAAAGAAGATTTGCTTAATTGTGGTAGATTAGAAACGTGGACCGTGCTTTTTACAGCCCTGTTTTACGTCATAAGAATCATATATGAATATATAATATTTGAAAAAAGCATTTTTTAGAAAATAATACTTATGGTTCAGAAAATATCTAATCATTACAATCAATAACAGCGTAACTAAAAGAACTGTTTGATATTATAGATTTAAAGAAAGTGCCTAACAACTTTCCTTACAACTTTTTCTCCAAATATTAACTTATAACTATAATTTAATGTAGACAGTTGGGTTTTTAGTTTGATTTTGGGTTTATTACAGACCACTGTTTAACAGATATACTCGTAACTAGATTATAAAAAAACTTTGTAGAAGGACGCGGAGAAAAATCAAACTCCAATTAAAAACAGCCGAGCACGGTTGACTCGAAAAAATTTAGAAGGTTTGTCATGAAAACCAGATAACTTAGTGGTGGTAATCCCTCTAAAGGTCAATACCACAACTATAGGAGTAACAATATACTTTTTGTTTACAGTAACGCATTTAATTATAATTACAATTATAATAATAGATAGTTGACTTAAAATCTCAGGAGTTATAGGATTATAGGGTTCTATGGGAAATAGGCTTCTTTCATAATCAAAACATATTTTCTTCAATTTCTTACATATAATTAAATTAGTAAGAATCAAAAATATATGTAATATAAAAAAAAAATATTTCAGATAATGTTAATGAATATCTAAAGCTTGCCGCTAGTGCTGATAGACAGCAATTGCAACGAATAAAGGTAATAAGAAAGAAAGCTTCAATTAGTAAGAATAAAATTTATTGTAACTAAAAAAAAATTTTCGTGCATATTTTTAGGCTGTTTTTGAAAAGAAAAATCAAAAGAGCGCACATAATATTTCTCAGCTACAAAAAAAACTAGATAATTATACCAAACGCGCGAAAGATCTACAAAATCATCAGTATCAAAATAAAAGCCAACATCGACAACCGCGTGAAGTACTTCGAGACGTGGGACAAGGATTAAGGTAATCTAAAGAGTTTTGAAGATTATTAATATAGTTTAAAGAAAATGTATCTCAAAAACGGTTTTCTTTTGTTAGAAATGTGGGTGGCAATATACGCGATGGTATTACTGGTTTCTCAGGATCTGTTATGTCTAAGCCACGTGAATTTGCGCATTTAATCAAAAATAAATTTGGCAGTGCGGACAATATCAATCAAATGTCGGGTATGTCATTATCGCTACTAATATTAATGGTAATAAATAATTCATAGATATTCTTTTCATATATTTATGTAGAAACTGAAATTAATAACATCAACATGCCCGTAAATTCTGAGGTAATAGGTACTTCCACGCCAAATAATGCTGTTCCAGCCACATCTACAGGTTCCGGTAATACCGCCGGAAGTGGAAAATTTAATAGTGAAAATGGCAGCGAATGCAGTAGCGTAACAAGTGAGAGTATACCAGCCGGGTAAATAAAATAAATTTAACAGAAATCCTTAATTGTATATAAAACATATATTTGTAATTAACTATTGATAGCTCTGGAAAAAGTCAATCAGGCGCTAGCCAATACCACATTGTTTTAAAATCACTACTCACAGAATTAGCTGAGCGGAAAGATGAGAATGAAAAACTGAAAGAACGTGTAGAACGTTTAGAAGTAAGTTAATTAATTATTATTATCAAATAGTTAAGAACATGTTACGAGAACTATGGCAAAAAGAATTTAAAAGTTAGTTTGGTCAGAAAGACAAAAGTAGCAACAAGAACTTAATAGTTATCTTGATCAGTAAGATAACTATTAATTATCACTTTTCATAAATATATTGGTTTTAATCGATTATCAAAAAATGTTAAAAGCCATATTTTAAGTAAAACAAATATAAGTTTCCTTCTATATTAGGATTTAGTCCAATAATATTAATAATATTAAATTAATAATAGTAATCGTTTTTTAAAGATCACAAATATTACAAAAATTCATACGAATATTTATTTAATCATTTATGTTTTTCATTCATTAATTATATCAAATAATACATATTTTAGACCGCGCAAAAGGATTTTAATAATTTAACCGCCACCCTTGAATCGGTGCGTTACCGTTCAGATGATCTTGTGGACCAGATTAACGACTTGACAGAATTACATCAGGTACGACAATTACACATATGATAAAGTAATATATATTTTAAATAAAACACAAAGTAATTCTTTAAAATTTAAATAACTTTTCCATATTTAATAATTAATAAGTAATTATAATAATAATATTATAATAATTAATATATTTAATAATAATATTAAAAACTTAAGTGTAAAAACTTATTGTTTAAAGTAGCGTTAATTTTTAACTAAATTAAACAAGAATTATTATGTGAATTATTTAAGTGAGAAGCAGATTTGTGTCATATAAATGATCTAACTAAGTTTTTTTGAGTTTTACTTTTTTTTCTAAATACATATACAAACCCGTTTAAAAAGTACTTCGACTAAACCGAACCTAATCAGAAAGTAAGGTCGGGTCTACGTCCCGGAGCCACTCGTCACTTACGACGACCAAGTACCGTTCAACACCTCCAAAAGGGACTCCACAAGCAGGTCCCGCCAGGTTACAAAAAGTACGCACTTAATTCGTTTATAGCGACCCATGAGTTACAACAAACTATATTCACATATAAAAACCTTTTTATTTTCCAGTTTATTCAAATCTACAAATCGACTATAAATAATACTTATCTACTTACTAACTATCTAGCTATCTACTTATAAACTTCGAATAGCCAGTTAAAAATTGAAAAAATAAAGTAATTTCTTTAAAAAAAATAATGTGATTGTTACGATTCCTGTGATGGTTCTAAGTTTTTCTTTTGATAGGTTCATACAATCATGGTATGTCTTATTGTTATAAATACTAATAAGTGATTTGGATTGTGTTAATCCTGGTATATTATCCTAATAATGGTTTTTATTCTGATTCTCCTTTATAAAAAAAAAGAAGCGTAATATGTGCTAGTCCACAAAAAGTTTTCGGCCCCATTATCGGTTGGGCTACAATAATTTATTGCTTTACATATATAAGTTTAACTTAATTACAAGATATATACTTTAATGTTTGAATTAAGCGAATAGTACTATAGTACTAATAATTTGAATCAAATATTTTATTTATATTGAATTTTATAAACTAACTGTTTCTCTAATTGTACAGAATGAAATTGAAAACCTCAAACAAACAATAGCTGATATGGAAGAAAAAGTTCAATATCAAAGTGATGAAAGACTTAGGGACGTAAATGAGGTGCTTGAAAATTGCCAAACAAGGGTAAGTTAGTGTTTTTTTTTAAATACTTTTACAAACTCACCTATTACGTCTATATTTGCCTCTAGATATCTAAAATGGAACATTTATCTCAACAACAATATGTGACAGTAGAAGGAATCGATAATTCTAACGCACGTGCGCTTGTCGTTAAACTTATTAATGTTGTGCTGACAATTCTACAGGTTGTTCTGCTTTTAGTAGCAACTGCTGCCGGTATAATAATGCCATTTTTAAAAACCAGGTAGGGCATTTTCTCTTCATTTGCTATGTTTTTTCATATTGAATATATAAGTAATCAAAGTAAAAATTCTATTCTATTGACAGGGTGCGTGTTTTAACGACATTCTTAACTATTTTTATTATTATTTTTGTGATACGACAATGGCCTGATGTGCAAGATATTGGTGCTGGGCTAGTACGACATTTGAAGGAGTCTTTGGTTGTTAAATAGAATATGTAAAACTTTTTACACAAACACACATCCATCATGCACATATAACATAATTCACATAGCCACACATCCAACAAATAAACATGCTCATTATTAGGCTTTATTCGTTATAAAATAAAAAATATATAATTAAATTAAATTGCTTTAGCTAAAGAAATTAATAGTGCAAAATAAAAACAAAATTATTAAGTGATTTATTTGTAAATAATTTTTGTACAAATATTGCACAGAAAAAATTACCACAATAATGTAATGGAATTAGTAAAATTTTACATTCGAAACTCATCACATTTATTTTTTAATTGTAATTATATTTCATTTGATTATATTAAATAAATTGGTTTATTTTGTAATAAAAACGTTACTGTAAAGTATGTATTTATGTGCTCATTTCTTATAAGTAATATGCATATTTAATAAAAAAATAATTTGTTATAGGCAAAAAGAAATTATTAAATAACAGAAATAATTAAGAATTATGTAATTTGTTACTCATAATAGGGTTTTTTTATTAATATAATATAATATACGGCTTATATATACAAATTTATATAATATACGTAAATTAGGTTAAAAATAATAAAATGAATATTGCATGAGTAGTCGCCTCATTGATTAATTATTGAATTTAAATAAACTGTAATTTTTACAAAATAAAAGTAAACCTGGAATTTTTTAATGAAATTATTGGCAAATATTTGAGGAACAAAATATCAGTGAAAATAGAAACGTGATATTATTTGGAAAAATCGTGAAATAATTTAAATAAAAATTAATTAATTAATAAATTGAACTTAACTTAATTAAGTAATTATGTTAAAATTGAAAATGTCCTTATTACAGTGAATACTGAATTTTTAATAGATATTTTTGTTTCAATGACAAAAAGATTCTCAGATTTACTAAAGTAATTAGACCAGATAATGAAAAATATCAAAGGTCCAGGTTTTAATTATTATTTTATTTTTATTTTTTTTTTTTGTATATTTTTGAATTTCACCTTTTAATTTTTAAATTTTTTGATTATTAAAATTCTACTAATAGTTCAGATTTTTCTAGAAAATGGTTTTAGTTAAATTAAATCAAATTAAAAAATAAAGGGGAATTAAGGAAATTTACTCAAGTGAATTTTTGGACTGGCTAAATATCAGTCATTGGTTTTAAGACTGATCTATTGGTTTTTAGACTGAAGCTGTCAGGATTTGAACTCTGCCAAATGTTAACTGCGTGATAAAAAAAACATACAACGTACATAGAAAGAACAGCTGCATTGATGAATTTAATAACTGTGTTTTTAATGCAAACACTAAATACTAAAGATTTGCTATGATATAAACAAAACTAACAAAAATATAATAAAATGGCATTTACTAAAACAAAAATATTTATAGTTAAGCATAAATATTGCCGTAGAATGCCTCCGCATGAACATTTCCAGTGATAAAAAAACCGTTCATACATGTAGTCAGCTGAGCTCAACTTAACTCAGTAGCGTTAGATGAAATTTTTAAACAGGTTAGCCGGCTATAACCTCTATTAATAGGTACCTCTGTTATATTACAATTTGTAACATGTTCTAAGAGGTTTATTTACATATAAATGGACAATTCAGTGCATATTGTATTTAATAAAGTAGTCAACTAGTTTAAAATATTTTCAAAGCCATATTTAAATTTTTTCATTAATGTTACCAGACCACTCAATAATAATGCTTCTTATTTTATAAAGATATTAAATTTTACAACAGTTTGGTTTATGAAATCAACAGAATTTTTATAATAATATTATAACTCTTGTTTGATTATAATATAAGTTTTATAAACATATTTTTTTATTTCAATGATGTTCGAAAAGACAAATATATATATATATATTAGAATTATAATTCGGTAGGTATAAACCCAGAAGTGGCATGTTATGAATGCTGAGAAACATTCCTAATATACTTCGAAACAACTCTTTAATTTGGAAATCATTTCGGTTATGTTCCGAAATGAGCAAATTAAATGTTACTAAAAAAGAATAAATTGAGGTGTGACACTCCAATTGAGTTGTTCCAAATGAAGAAGTCGATATTGAACCAGAATGGCTAGCATCAACAACAAAAAAATAAAACAATTTTGATATAGGTTTCGTCCACGCAGGCTATAATGTCAAGAAATTGATATATATCAAAAAAATATTGCTCGAGCCATAATAATAAAAATAATATAATAAAAGCAAAATATATTATTGAAAGTTTTAAATAGAAAGAATCTATTTCTGATTTTTACAATAAAGATAGTAAAGTAATAATAAATTTTTAATAAAGTATAATAACAATGTATTTTAAATTTTATTGTATTTATATACGAATACGTTTCTATAGTTGAAAAAAATATTAAAAACTTAAATTCATTACAAAGTATTAGTCGACAATAATTACAATTAAATCACTGTTAATTAAATGTTAGCAGATTTATTACATTTTTTGTGTTGTTGATTTATTTATTTTATGTTAAAATATTTTTTATACACATAAATTATATGTTGGACTTACACATTTATTTTGTAAGTTAAATATTAAAATCTACAAATAAACATATTATGAACTATAAACACTATATTTTTTCTAAATTGTTCTTTAGTTTTTGGCTTCAGTAGTTATAATATTTGTAAATCATATGTCTACATTTATAGTATTTACACACATATTATTTTCAGAAAGAAACAATCCTAATATTTTACACTAAAATGGAAAAACTCAACTGCGTAGTCTTATAATAGTAAACCGTTAATATATAAATATTATTTTATTTTATAACTATTGTATTTTATGACAAAAATATTTTTCGTATTTCATTAAACTTATAATTATAAATATTAAAAAAAAAATTTTAATATTGGGAATTCATATCTTAAGGTATGACATTTTGCATTTTGAGAGTTACGTAGATTTTTTTTTTATTTTTATAAAAATTATATATATTTTAAAAATTTTAATAAAAAATAATAATATTATTTAAAAAATATATCTATAAATCAATATATAAAATAAGAGAAATCAATCAATAAAAAAAATTAATTTACAACATAGGAATTTCACTTATGCTTTTTATAACGTTTACTATATAACACTAAACGGTAATAACTATTAACATTTAAGCCAATTATAAATAAATCACATTTCATATATATATATAACTTTAAAAAATAATCATTGACAAATTTTAAAAATTTACTAATGATATCTTCATCGTAGACTAAATACTTTCGATTCAATTCTAAAGCGTATTTAAAAAAATTAAAACAACGTAAATACGCTATATCATAAATACAAATTATGGTGATAAAGATTTGTTTTTTTTTTTTTGTCATATAATACAAAAAAAAGTAAACGTTATAACTGTTAAATAAAAAAAAAACAATTTTTTTCTATTTAATTTAATCATCCACTCCACTTATATATATTGCCTTAAATAAAAAACTGACGATCAGTATTTGCTGTGGCGTTACGAGGTTGATATGTTGGACCTCTTAATGTATCACTGTGATTGGCATTCGGTAAGGCTACAACACCAATACCACCTTGTGTGGGCGTTTGTATGAAAACCAAATTGGGGTCATTCATATTATTACCAATTGCATCAGAATCTGAAGGATTTGTTGGTGTAACTACAGCGATTGGTTCATATATAGACTGATGTGGTGATTCATCCTCATCCTTGAAACTACCGCTTAAATTCGGATTTAAAATGTTATTCGAAGAGTGTGACGCATTATCATATGTGGCAGGTATTGTAAAAGAATTCGTAGATGCGACATCGGCCACAACTTCCTCCAGATACGGTGGCGCTGCTACACTAATTGGATGCACACGACGAAACAAACTAGAAATATTTGAATAGCACATTAATATTTTTAGATATATAAATATATGTATATATAAAAATATTGTGAATGTATATTTAATATTTAAAAGTAAGTAAATTTTATAAATTGTACCCATTATATATAGTCCGAAATAGGTTTGGCCTGCCGTTCAATTCTTCAGCTGTTTGGGATGTTTGTTGAACAATATTATTTGGTGTACGATCAAATGGATTAACCCGACGTGAATTATGTGAGGGTGACTGATGTGCTAATAATACTAAATTTCCAAAATCTAAATAATTCAAAATACGAGATATAAATCACAAATTTGTTACCATTTTCTTCATCAGATGTCACATCACCGGCACCTAATGCAGTGCTGACAGTTGTATTACTACTCTCACGCGTAAATGTACCATGGCGTGTTGTTGGTATAACTTCTGTTGCCGTTCTAACAGTCGATGTGTTACCACTTGGTTGTAATAGTGGAGTTGTGTCATCATCTGTATCCGATACACTATCCAATGAAGACTGTCGATTCCGATTTGATCTCGCCGTGCCTTTCGTAAAAACCTTTCGCTTACATATGGGACAAACGCGACGATTTTCTGTTAACCAAGGGTCAATGCAATGACTATGATATGCTAAAATAAAGAAATTTTAATTTATAAAACTTTTTAAAAACGATTGAATTATTAAAATGAATTTTGAAAAAAGAAAACCTAAAACTAACCCTACGTTCTTATGTAAATTCTTAAACCAAATTTTTCAGATCAACATGTTTCGACTGTTACATTTAGATGTACTCTTGATCTGTCGAATTTAGTTACTCAATCTAACGTTTTTAGTGGACATTTTTATTATTCATATATACATATGTGTGACCTAAAGAAGGTGATTCGCTTTTTAACCACCATATTCAACCTAATTCTTCACGATGCCATTAAGTCGCTAGTGGTAACAGGGAACATATTCAACAAAACATTGCTGACCATTGTCTACGCAGAAAACATAGCGATCTTAACCAGGTTACTACACTATATGAAAGAAACGTTTGTCGATTTACAACCCAGAGCTAAGGTACTATGGCTAAACATTAACAATAACTAAACAAAATACATGTGGGTTGGAAGAAATACGCACAGCCCAATTTCAGAAACCTTTTAAGTCGGTGATTTCACTTTTGAGGAAGTTGAAAGCGCTAAATACCTGCGTGCCCTCATCAATAGCAGCAACGACATCAGTGATTGTAGCTAAGACAGAATTGTGGTAGCAAACAGAAGTTATTACGGACACGCGAAAATCTTCAAATCTAAAATAGTGATCAGACGCACTAAATTACACGCTTACAAGGCAATCATCAGCCCAGTATTATGTTACGGGGCCGAAACTTGGACTTTAACAATAGCAGACGAAAAACAAATCAGAGCTTTTGAAGGGAAGGTGGTAAGAAAGATTTATGGTCCCATCCGCCTGAAGCACGAAGAACTTCGTCGGCGAACGAACGCAGAGCTACTACAACTTTGAAGATGCTGTAAAATTAGCAAAGTTGCAGCGATGAGATGGATCCTGCACGTCATGAGAATTCCGGATGATAGACCAGAAAAGCGTATACTCCATTTCACGCCGTACAACGACGGCAGAAGAGGTAGACCAAGTATTAGAATACTCGACAATGTGATCGACGCTATCAGAAAAATAGGTATTAAAAATTGGAGGCCTAAAACAACGTGCAAAGCAGAATAAAGGAAGCTGATTTCTGTAGCTAAAGCTCAACCTGAGCTGTAACGCTGATGATGACATATGTATGTATGTCTATCAAGAAAATAGCTCGAGTGTTACACTTTTCGTCCGAGATTAACCAATCGAAAATAAAAATTGCACTAAATGTAAATCTCGATTGAAAAAGTTACTCTGGATTTACCAATCGAAAGCGACATAAAATTGTTGATTTGTTGATTGCTGATTTGGAAAGGCATTGTGCAAAGAAAACATAAAACATAAGCATTACATCTCCATATTCAGAATAGTACGATAAGTTCGTACTTAAAATGAACTATCCTCAATAAAACTCTTGTCTAAGACAAATCAACAATTCATGGATAGTAATTAGAGTATGTACTTAGTAATAGACAAGTCATCACCCTTGTTTGTTAGATAGATTACGCGAGGATCTTTATAACTGCGTCATTAGATAAGTTAAATCAACAACCTCAAAATCGATTAAATCGGAAAAATGCTTCTACTGACCCATATGCTCTTTCTAGGAACAGTTTTGATTGGGTAAGTTCGAATTTAGATGATGTAACGATGTTAGATTGTACAAATATCTATATGCAACAAGTTTTATAATATTTTAAATAGGATTTTAGAAACTAATTAGAACATCAAATTTCGAAAACAAAACGCCATAATCGATTAGAATTGAAATGTATTATGAACCTACGTTTTTGATAGTGTATAATAAAAAGCCTCATCAATACCATTAATTTTATAAAACCACTGCTAGTTTAAAGTATACCAGAAAAAATAGTCTTTTCTGATATTATAGCAAGTAAAACACGCAAGCCCCTGAAAAGAATTAAATTATCTCATCGAATTTATCGAACCCGCTAGGTAACGAACTAATAATAAGTACTATATTACTTAAAATCGATCGCCAGTGATTGACAAGAAGCACCCTCGGAAAAATATCTTTAGCATTTACAGTCTGTGTAAGTCTTCAATAACTGTCCGGCTGGTGTCACTGCCATCTAGGAATTGCGATGCACCAAGCGGGACTATTTCAAAAGAGTAAGCTTTGATATTTATTACAGACATCATACTCTGTAAATTAAAGCTTTGCAATTATCTGCTTCAAGGGATTCAACTTAGTACTGCCAATAACATACGTGTCTATACACAGAAAAAAAATCAACGGTGCCAAACTGCCATTATATAAGAGCTGAAACCTTCGTCTCTCAACTTCTTTACCGATTGAATAACAAACCACTGTGTCTGTGACTCAATATCTGAGTTCTCATAGTACACATAGCTTCGTCAAGATGGGATCAATTTTCCCCAAACATGCTGACGTTGTGTGAGGCTTCAGCTGTTACTGGCAGGTAACAGCTATGTTAGCCTAAAATTTACCACTGCACATAGACGATTTTAGAAGCAAATAAGATGTAGAACACTTTCTCGACCGATAAAACTTACGCTGTATAGCTTGCTCTTCTTATCTATAGCTATGTTTGGCGCAGAAACATAGATGCCATCACAGAATACTGAAGCTACACTGAAAGTATTCGGGAGAATATACGAGGTTTATCGCGATAATTGATATTGTTTGATACATTAATATCCAAAAGCTACAAGGAAAAAAATATTTGAGGCGAAAGCCAGAGAAAAAAGGCGTAGAGAAAGACCGGGTGTGGGGTAGCACAAACTGCACTTAAACGAAATTAAAGAAAACAAGTCGAAGAAGCTAATTCCAATATTGGTTGTAACTAATTTGGGGGTCCTAATATTTTAAGACTTACAAAACTGCGAATATTTAACACCAGCCTAAATCTGTTTTTGTGTATTGTAGAAGTCTAGCGCAGATATTACTAGTAAACCGAAAACAATAAGCAATAAGAATCTCCTAATATGAACAAGCAAAAAGCAGTCACCAAAAAAAATAAAAAATATAATGTAGGGATAAAATATCATGACAAAAAGGTGCACATCGATGGAATACGAAACGCTCTAGAAGACTAGGAAAAAATATATATGGAAAAGAAAGCTGCTAAATAAGCTACATATCTCATTAGCAGCAACTCAGAACACTCGCCACCGACCGAGACTGTTGAAGGAAACTTTTATTACCTTATGCTCTGGATCATAGCGACAATTGTTATTATTTATAGTTATAATTTTGTTAAAAGTTCTTGCATAGAACAAGAATCTTATATATATAATATATAAAAACTAAAAATAAAATGTGTTTATTACTAATGTAGGAAAGTTTGTAATACTTACGATGCCTGCATGGCAATACACGCAACTTATCGCCCTCAACAAATTCATCCAAGCAGATAACACACGTATCATGGACGATATCACTATTCTTAGTGTATTTTAAAATTGGCAGCTTTTTTAGTAAGCGTTTCGGTAAACGATTTCTTCGGACACGCCGCTCCTCACGTACGCACTTATAAATCATGTAAAATATCTACAAGAAAATAATTATAATTTTATTTATTTTATCTAATATTTAATTAAATTTACCATAACAAGAAAACAAAGACCGATTAAAATTGAAAAAGGTAAAATCAGTTGAGTGTTAATATTAAAAGGTGGTTCATCGTTAATAACAAGAATTACATCCGCAGATTGGAGTATTAAACTCAAGCCAGTTGTATAGCCAACAAATACAGAGGGTATATAAATACCAGTTGAATTTTCAGCTCTCATTTGTTCTACAAATTTGTTAAGCATATTAATTAAATAGCATATTAATTAAATATATATTCAAACTAACCTAAATCATCACTTTTGTTGTTATAAACAATAACACAATCATAACGTGCTTCTTGAGCATTACGCACCTTCAACTCGAAAGAACAATTATCCCCACCCCTGTAATAAAAAATAGACCATTGAATATTATTTCATTATACATTATATACTATTAATTATAATTAATTAATATTGTAGTATTACCTTTCGATAATGGCAACAAATTGGGAATTGCTTGCATAGCGTCCTTTATTAATTGGGTCAATTTTTGTACAACCTTGAAAAGGATTTGTCTGTTTACCAATATATTTAAGACCACTAGATGGTAAACTAGGACCAAATGCTGCTGGCATGTCATTATATTCTTCAATTAGCTTCGGAAAAAAATTAAAAATAAATGTTCATAATTTTCCAATTATAATTATCGAAGCATACATTATTTTAGCTTACCTTATTAGTGTTTCTGTTATAAACTAATATATGAGCATCTGATACAATACACAATCCTAATATAGCAATTTTGAAAACTACCAATTGGATTTTCGTATCTTGTAACAGCATTTTGATCTCTATAATTGTAGGATCAAATTTTAGTCACTTATTAATGTGTAATTTAAAGCACAAATTCGTCAAAGCAGAGTCGTAAAACTATTAAAATCTTTACAATGTTCCCTTCTATTTCTTAATTATTCAGAACTAAAACTCTTAAAGCGGATCAAATATTTTTTTTAAAAATCGGTACTGTATTTCACTCTTTGCATGTCTCATTGGGATATGGAATTTGTTGTAAACAATCTGTAACATAAAAAAAATAATTCAACCTTTTTCAAAATATTTTAAATATACACATATATGTAAATACATACATTTTATTATACAAATTTTAATAAAATTGAATTAAAATTAGGTTCATTGTAATTTTTAATGCACAAAGAATATAAATAACTGAAAAGTTCATTCACTTTTTATATTGTAGAAGATACACAAAAGTACATATCAATACAACTCTTATCAAATAATATTGATAATGTAACTGACCAAAATTATGATAGGTAAATTAATACAATAGGTAAAGCCGATCAGCATAGATAAAATGTTTAAAGCAACTATATAATGTGTATGTATAGTATAATATATGAATGTAAAGAAGACATACAATATTAATCTGTAATATATATATAGAAAGGTATAAAACATAAACTTCATTAATTGGAAAAGCTTGTACAAAATCGTGTTGTTGCCATTTACTAACAAGGTTCTCAACAAGCTGCACTACGAGGAATAACCTGTATATATGATTAAACTGTATATATATACAATACCAACGAGAGGAGCATATAACTGTAGAAGACTATTTAATGTCGACAGCCACTTACTAGGCTCTTCCTCGAAAAAGAGTATTTATATACATTACATAAATACTAAAGGCTAAATAATAGAATATCTACAGACATTTAAAAAAAATGAACTAGGATCTTTTTCGTGATAACCCTAAATGGGACTTCTATTGTAGAAGTGTAGTCTAGTATGTAATGATAGATGGCCGCAGAGAAGCTTAATCGCAGAATCATACTACAAAAATAAAGTTTAAAGGTTCATAAGTGTAATTTTGCTACTAAAGCTATACTCCTTGTCAAAGAATACAAACCCGTAAAACACATATCTTTTAGAAAATAATTTATTTTTAGATTAACGATATATATATAATAACTACTAAATATAAAATAATAGATGTCTTTCTGTCCTCTTATAGATTGTTGTTATAACCCGGTGGTACCTGGTTGTGAGGTCCCTTTGGCAGGCGTTAAACGGCACTTGGCCGTCTGAAATATTCTGAAACCTTTCGCAACCTTTGTACAAAACGGTTTAAACAAAACGGGTTGTTGATAAAAGCAAAATCAAAATTTAAAGCAAAAAAGATAATTCCAAGTAACAATATAATTCATTCAAATTTTTTTACTTGATGATTTAAACAATAAAATGGTAAAAAGAATATAACTAATATTTTTAGTCTATATATCGGGTTGGGTAAATAGTTTTTGGCGTTCTGCGAAATAAAATAAAATAATAAAAGTTGCACTAACATTTTTATTGTTTTACAAATGACAGATTAGTTAAATATTTTTTTAGCATTATTGCATTTGTATTAAAAATTATTGCATGAAATTTGGAAACAATTCGGTATTTTACTATGACAAAGAATAGAATATAACACAAGCATGTGAGTTCTTATGGTAAAGACACTCAATCTATAGATTACATATATATAAATTATAAATAACTCTGATATAATTCTATATAAGATTTAAGAAAAATGGCATATGAGTTGTTACACTACTTAGGAACTAAACATGGAACACAGCACTGTTATTAACCATTTCCATAAAGCTAGTTATAGAAAAAGCTCGATGTTGAAATATGTGATACATTTTGTGAAGAAATATTTAAAAGTTTGTAATCTATCTGCAAATAGCAATAGAAAAATGTTAAAATCCAGTCATTTCCAAAAGTCTATACGAAAACGGGCTTACTCAAAAAAACATAAACTTCACAAACTGTAGGCAAACTTTACAAATTAATGACAAAATCAGGGATACGGTCTGTTTAGAGGGATTGTAAGTGTGTATCATCTATCATAAACAAATATAATTTACCTACCTAACTGATTTAAATTTTCAGTCACACTTAAAAAATATAAATTTCACAAGATATGGCAAAACTTTACAAATTAATGACAAAATCAGGGATACGGTATATTAAAATGAATTGTAAGGGTATCATCTATCATAAACAAATATAACATATCTTCCTGATTGATGAAATTTCTGTTTAAATTACTGAAATTCTCTAAATTTCTGGCTATGAGCCAGAAAGGTACACACGCTATAAAATGACAATTGTCGCCCTTTTGTAATTCTACCATAGTAAAGTTGTAAGATTAAACTGTTAAAAGTTCTTTTTTTTTTATTATGTATATATGTATAGAACCAATATGGATTCCCTCATCTGGGCCCTGGACATAGGAACATCGTAGTGAACGCCATCGTCACTGGCGGTACCGGTTTATATTACCCTAGAGACCATTAAAAGAAGTACCTTCCTCTGCTTTCTGCTACTTGCCAATAACAGATGGAAAGCACTTAGGTTATGTGCGCATTCCCCAAAACCCTTATTGCAGTAGTTGTGGAAACCCGCAGAAGAAAGAAACCATATATACATTTTTCTGTTAATGCCCGGATTTGGCGTTCAGAAGATATAGGTTCTTAAGAAAACACTACTTTGATAGTTTATCAGACTGTACATCGGTGAAGATGAAAGACCTATTAAATTACCTAAATTCGGCGGGATGGATTTAGTCTCTACTCTTCTATACTAGGGTTCTTGCGAGAAATGTGGTAGCAAAATGGCAAAAAATCGTTAATTGAGTACATGGAAGTTATCTAATGGCCTACCACTGCAACCAACCAGAACCAAGAAAGTACAAAGTTGAAAATTAAATTTAAGATTTAAATTTAAACTTATTTTATTTATTTTCTTAATCTTATTTTTTCTTTTTTACTATTTATCAAAATAGTAAAATAAGGATTACATATTAAATTTGAAATTAAATTAAATTTGCAGCAATTCACAATAACGAGAATCAGATGTTATCTTAACGAATACAAAAACAAAAATATCACATCTGATACATCTCAGCAATTTGTTAACTCCATAATGTTATAATTTCACAAAAACAAATACACATAGAATTTTATCACTTTACCGAGATACCGAGCACATCTGTATAGCTCTAATATTTGTAGAACAATGGTATACACATATTATTCCATTGTTAAATGAGCCTTGTTCTGCAATTGGTTGGGGGGAAATGTACGCCTTGCATAGGTCTTAGTACGCAACTATTCTTGCAAATTAAATTTAAATTATAAATATGGTTTTAATAGTCCTTTAGCAACGTCTTTTAATTTCAAAAAAATTACAATTATCATAAATTATTTAACTGTCAATACTTTTCCAATACTCTAAGAAATGAACTGGGTTATTCACAGGTAATATTTAAAAGTATTGTGTGTTTAAAAAATATAATTAAAATAAATCAAATATCTACGCAGTAAATATGATTACCAAAAACATTATTGCAAATATGTCAAAAACCATACAATACGTGATTTCATTGCAGAATTAAAAAAATATTGATGTACGACAAAAAGCAAACTATTGGCTATTGAATTAAAATAATATCTACTTGCATGTCTGGGTTGAAATATACACAATTTCAAATAGACATTAATAATGATAATATATTCTAATTTTGAGCGCAGGTATTTAAAATAATAATCTGCTTTTATTTATTTTACAACAAATGCAGGATTGATAAGCTTTTGGTGACTGAATTCCAATAAGCACTTGAAATCACTTCCTACACTATTTTTGTAGAACATCTATACTTATATGCTTATATATTTACTGCATATGTTTGTATTTATTACTCCAGTCTAGGTTGCAAACGGAGAAATTCAATGAAAAATCCCTGAACTCTATGACAAAATAAAATTTGCTTATTGAAAACAAGAATAAAACATTTTTAATTTTTACATTAAAACATTTTTAATATGAACAAAATAATAATGTTTTTGCAGATCCTTCTTACAAAAATTCGAACACATACACACATACACATGTATATATAATTTAATAAAAAAAATCTGTTGGAATCGGTGTACAAAAAAATCATACCAGCAGGTGGGTGCATTTCTTATTTTGTCATCTTCACATTAACTTACTTTAAAAAAATATCAGGTGACGCAAAAATTTTTATAAAACTAAATTTGCTTATAGTTTTTTACTAGACTTAGTTACATCTCAATTATTATTCTTTTCTTTTGTGTTCTGTTTGGCTTATTGTTATTGCGTTTTTGTCTTAAACATTCGCACATTTATAATTGTGTATACCTCTTAAAGAATTTTTAACATTTTCTTCATAAATGTTATAAATTAATAACATTTTTAGAAAAATTAACTGACAAATCGAACAAATTATTAATATTTGCACTGTTATTCACTTTTTGTAAAACCAATATCTCTGCTGCAAAACAACTGATGAAAAATAAATAGTGTGAACGAATAATGGGAATGAAGAAATTTGACAATTCAAATAGGACTGCCAACATATTTTCCAAATATTGATTAAATTTTGAACTAGACTTTTTTAACTGCCCATGACAAAATCTTTAAAATTTTAATTTCATATTTCTATATAATTTTATCTATAAAAATTTGTTAAATAAAACTTACACAAATAAAAGTTTCATCTTTTTAAAATATTGCTGCACACCTTGTTTACTAATTTTTAATAATTATTTGACAATACTCGAAACAGCTGTATGGTCAGCAAAAAATTCAATTAATTAAAATAATATAAAATGAATATTTGTTCTCGTCATTCACTACTGTTCGAAAAAGCCTCTTTATTTTTTTTATTATTATTTTTGAGCGTGTGTGAGTGAATTGAGGTAAAGTAAATTGAAATATCCCAGCGATTTTTTGCACTGCACTTATGTAAATATTTATTTATTCATTTATTACATTTATTTATTATTTTTAGTTGTAAGTTTTCAAATTTATTTATTAAACATCATATAAAATTTTCACCTACTAATTTACCCTACTCGAAATTCTGGTAAATATCAACGTACCATACCGACATAATTTACTATTTCCCTCAATTTATCAACAATTTACTCGAACTCGCACACGGCCTTAATACAAAATTTTATATTTAAGTATGATTTTAATAAGTATGATTATTTATAATATAAAAATTATGACAACTTGCCTATAATAATAATAATAAATCTTGATGCGTTTTTCATTGGTAAATCTGTATTCAATCTTGATTTATTGTCAAAAATTTTGTTGCTCAATCGAACAATTCTAGAGTAATACTATGTTGAGAAAGCTAAATTTTATAAAATTTCATTAAAATGAAATTAAGTTAATTTAGATTAAGTTCATACTGCCCCTAAATAAGGAAATCATATGTTCTTTGTTTACAAATCGAATGTTAAAAATTACATGCTCAAAACACCATTTGTATCTGAGAAATTTTGTGCGTTCATTATTATAACTATAAAGGATGGCATTTAGTAGTTTTATTAGTTTTAGTATATTACAAGTATTTGAATTATTATTTTTCACTATATTTTAAATAAATAACAGTTACAGTTTTTTCCCTATATTCAAATCCAAAAATTTGCACTTTTTTCAAAACATTTTTTCAGTTTTATTAAAGTCAGCTGTTTTTAAAAATAAATGTCACTTTTTCATTATCAGAACTTATCATTTGATTAAAATTTACCTTACGTATAGTTGCATTTGAAATGTCCCTTAATTTCAGCCTTCGTTTCAACGAAATTAAGGCCATTTTCTTTAATTTTGTTTTGACCTTAAAACTGAATTTTATATGGAAAAAATATTTAATTATTGTACATATGTACATCCAATCAGACCATACTTTATCTGCCAAATCATATAAAACAGATGCTAATTTCAGGGTAATTTTGCTAGCAAATATTTCTAGCAAAATATCTGGTGTGTAACAAATTAATCTCAAGCATTATACATTTTGCCCCAGATTTACCAATCGAAAATAAAATCGCATTAAAAGTGTGTTGAAATGATATCTCGATTGGAAAAAGTACCTCAGATTTACCAATTGAAACAGCCATTAATATTACTTCAACAACTGTTTGAGCTTTAAAGCAACTATACGACCGATAAATGTTTTTTTTAAATATTTTTTGTTTTTTATTACTTTTGGTTTAGTATTTAATTTAAATTATTAAAAACTTTTTCTCTATGGATAAAACCCATTGTTGTTATAACGTATTGTATTTTATCCTATTGTGGATAAAACCTATTATTATAATAACGTAAATTATAGCTTAATTAAAATCTATTTACTATCAGATATACAATCATGTTGATCAATAATGAAAATGAAGTACGTGGTGTCTATGTCCTTCACAGCGTTACATACATTTTGGCAACTTATATAAACAATTTTTATTAATTTGCTTAGATTTTTTAATAATTGTCTTTTATATATTTTCTACTCTATTTTTTACAAAAAATAACTTACATCGGCCCATAATTGAATACACATATCAGTTCATCCATGTACATTGCATTATAAGCAAACTAGCAAACCGAATGACTTGTCAAAGATAGGCAAAAATTACCATTCGAGAATTCTCTACATTATTCATTAGGTAAAAAATTTCTAATTCAAAATACTTAAAATTCTTTTAACTGCATACTCTATGTACTCAACTGGAGACAAGAAAACAAAATCTTTAAGGCTCAACTAAGCTGTTAGTCACCACCGCAGTAAAAAAATCCATGCCCTTACAAAAAAAAAAAGATTTTAGTTGAACTTATACTGCTGGAATAAAATATACGTAATGCAACATAAGATGGTGCGCTAGATCTTACAGGAATGCACAATACATTCCCTAAACTCCAACAGTGGTAGAGCCTATATACTGAAGCGATTAATACGAAATCAACGACAAATTATCGGTAAACTTTTCTGTTCCACAAAAAGAAGCCCGAACAGGTTTTTTCAGCTGCTATTTTAAACACTGCCACAACTTTGGAATAAAATAGAACTATAATCGTGCACACTTTTATTAAATACTGTATACATAAAACTTTACATAAAGTTAAGTGATTGCATATACGGTAATTATAAAATATTTACAAACCTAAACAATTAGTATCAGGCTCTTTAACTTTATAAAATTCAAATAAAGAAATTTTACAATATACTAGATATTTTATAATTTAAATTTAATTCAAGAATATTTCGCCAGAAATAAGACTACTTGGTCTTAATACTAAGATACATTTTTCCTTGTATAGTTTGCTTAACAGGGTTTATTCTCTTTAATATTTGAGTCATAGTTTCTACAAGGCGATCACTCGGTACGTTTGTCTTTTTGTTTTTAAACTTTTGTAGTAGTTCGGTAGCAGTCATTGGTTTGCGCATTAAGTAGCGACGTACTGCTTCCTCTGTAATACCATAATCACTGCAACAAAAGAAAAACAAACGATTATATGAAATAAATATATAAACAAAATAAATAATTGTCTTGATTTATATATATAGGATAAGCATATATAACGATATATTTTTATGTTCATATATTTGCATGCAACTTACTCTTTACTACCAGTTACAACTCCAGCAAAAGTTGATGGTAATGTGGGCGCCATATCGGGTTTAGTCCGTTTTGCTGGCGTTGTTACAGGACTATTACTATTTTCTGAACCAGTTAAATCCGTAGGCATGTTGTTAAGTTTACGTTTATTAGCTTCAGCACTAAAGGTTGTTGGTGTAACTGAACGTGAATTATTTACCACCAATTTAGTATCTTTCACCTTCTTCTTCAAATTATCGTCATCAGTATCAGAACTATCGCTACTAAAATCGCTTGATGAGTCTATAATAATATATAATATAATATATAATATAACATATAATATAATATATAATAAAATATATAAATAAAATATATTAATATTATTAATTAAGGAATTTACAGCCATAGCATAAAAATATATATGATTTAAAATATTTTTATTAATAATTTATTCACATAAATCAAAATAATATAGCTTTGTTTTTTAATATAGTTTAATATATATATATATTTAATATATATTATATTATTTAATGTAATATATAAATATATATACATTTTAACATAATATATAAATTTATATATATTTTAATATAATATATAAATATATATATATTTTAATATATTGAAGTGAAATATATATTTATTTAACTTTTAATTTTACATATAATTTTCCCTTCCTACCTTTTTTTTCGTCTTTTCCTTTATTTTTAGATTTCTTTTTATCTTTATTCAACTCTTCTTTTACTTTATCTTTTTTGCGCTTCTCATCTTCATCTTTATCGGATTGATCTGTTTGTTTTTCTTCATCGTCTTCTTCATCCGAAGTAAGCAGTTTACGAAGTGCATCCTCTTCTGCTACAGACTTCATATCTTTGTCCAATTTTGATTCTGGATCCGGTTCACTAAAATGAAATATATTTAAAATTGCACTTGACGATTGTAATAAAATAGATTAATAAAATTTACTCTTCACTTGATGATGTATCATAATCCATTTCACGACCTTCTTCATCACCATCATCCGATTCCTCAAACGCTTCAACATCAGTATCTCGTTTCTTTTTCTTCTCCTGCCCTTTTTTCTTTTTAGACTTTTTATCATCATCGCTATCTTCATTCTTTTTACTTTCTTCTTCATCTGAATCAGATTCGTCATCAGAATCAATCCATTCGTCCATCTCACTTATTTTTAATTCAGATTTTTTTCCACCAACTTTTTTAACTTTAATTTCTTCTGGATCTTTCTCTTCTTCTTCATCACCCTTTAACCGTTTACGCAACATTAAAGAAAAGTAATTTATAACTTTCTTTCTTCTTCCAAATTCATGTTCAGCTTCTTCTGCTGAAAGAGATTTATAACGTTGAATTGGTTGAAAGTTATACCACTCATGTAGAGGATATGCCTCTATAGCTCCATCTGGAGCATGAGTGAATACATAAAACGCAGCATTTTCGCCAACTCCACCCTCGCGTATTCCTTTAAATTTTTTCCCAGTTTTTCCACCTACTTTGAGTATCCATGGTTGAGCCTCTGGACGATATTTCTTAGCAGATATACCAAATTTCTTGCGGCGCACCTCTTCACGCAAATCACGATTATATTCGGATCCTGCCCCAAATTTAGGTACATCTTCTTCCATACCACGAAATTCTTTCATATTATTTTCTCTCTCTAATTTCACATTCCGCCATGTGGCAAAATCAACATTTAAAGTGGCATTATAGCGCATTACATGATATTTTTTACGTACATTTTTCGGCACCCGAATGTTAAATTCCTGAACAGTTGTCGGCACAGTTGTTGCACTTGGTTGCGACGCATTGGCATTTGCTGAAGTCTGAAAAATATTAGCGTAATAATTTACTAATAAATCAGCAAATAAATTTTGAAACTATAATACCGAAGACATTTTGTATCTACACAAAAATATTTAACAACTTCACAATATTTTTACTCTGCCTCAATTTAACAAACCACAACTTTAAAGGCTCCACCAAAGAATACTTGTGTACAGATATTCTTTGGGCTCTACTATCAACTAAATTATTAGAAGTATAGGGTTACCACCTCTTCAATATAGGTAAAAGCAGTTTTATATGTCCAAAATGTTGCTTCTAATATAAATCAAAGACTAGAGAACATTGAAATAGGTATTATTTGAAAAATAAATTGTAGTATATTTATTAGTAATTTATAATTATACTTAAAAAATATGTAATATGAAAAATATGAAATATTGTCATCACTGCTGCAATCTGTCAAATTTTTTTTTTCGCAAAGATCAAATCTTGCATATGTGCACATAACGCAAGTAAACAACATTTTGTATATAAATTAATAAGTAATATATAATTGAAAATTAAAATGAATAATGGATTAAAAGCAATGTTAAGAATACAGGAAATTTTAAAAATTTCCTTTTAAACAAAATTAATAAAAAATTAAAATATTTATGCCTTAAAAAGTATTAACTTGTTAGCTACTAATAAGATAAAAATTTAAATAATAATACAATTTAAAGCGCTTTTCTTTCTTTACTTTCTTTATGTTATCCTAAAAATTTTTGTATAATTTTAAAGTATTTATTTTTCACAATTATCATATTTTGAAAAAGTATTACATTTCCACAAATATCAAATTTGTGAAACTTTGTAATTTTGTTTAAATTTTTGTTCGCAACATTTGACATACGACTAGAATATTTATTGCAATATCCAATGAAAGTTCACAAAACATCGCTTATCGCTTTGGTAGTCTGAATTAGTCTGTTATATGGACAGGGTTGTCTTGTTGATTTGTCCACAAATTAAAGAATTTAATCAATCGACTTGTTTTTTGCAACGCTCCAGAACGCCGAAAGCACCTAATATAAAACAAATTTAATTATTATGTTTAAAGATTTGTTTAAAAGAAGGATATATATAAAGTATACATTATATGAGGAACGAATATTGTTTAAATGATAACTACAGACTTAAATAATAAATTTTTGCTGTTTTTGAAAATTTTAAAATTAATAACCATGAAAATAGCCTCTGAAAGCCAAATTTCTACAAATTTCTAAATTTAAAATTTTTCTCAGTGTATCTAAGAAGAAGAGTAAAATGAAATTTTTTGGTGTAATGTCAAAGTAATTTTTTTCTGGCGGTCAAAAAATTGTTTTAATTTTGTAAAAATAAATTAAAGCAGAAAGTTTTTAGTAAAATGAATCTTTCTAATAGTATTCGTCGGCTGAATTATATTGCAAATGATCTGGAAGGACATATGCGTTTCATTTGCCCTGAATGTGGCAAAGAACATCAGTCGCAAGTAGATTGGAGAAAGCACCTTAATGAAGAACACAATTATAACAATAAGGAAGCGAAGGATTTTAACTTTCGAGAAATTAATGATAAATATCATGAATGCCAAACTTGTTTCCAATGGGTTGCAAATGCCCACCAGTCAATTGCATTACTGCAATATCATCGTTTTTTACATTTGCCTTTCAGCAGTACCTACCAATGTCGTCATTGCGATGGTTCATACACAAGAAAACGCGCCTTATGTGAACACCTATTGCGTTATCACACACTTAAAATAAAACCAAAGAAAGCGGACATAGAAGCAGAGAAAAAAATAGCTAGAGATCCTAAAGAAAATTCGGAGTTCTATTTGCGTTTTATTTGTCCACAATGTGGACATTTATTTGAGCGTCAGCAACAATGGTTATATCACGTAAATAATGTACATTACGTTACTTCCGCAGATTTAAAAATGCGCCGTTTATCAAATTCGCGAAGTCATTGTTGCGTACAATGCAAAAAATTATTTTGCACAGATGACAAGACGATACTGCAAAGCCATCGTTTTAGTCATTTACCATATAAAAACTACTTTCAGTGTGCATTCTGTTCATTTAAGAAGACACTTAAAACTGATATACTACATCATTTTATTTGTGCACATGTGGAAGAATACGAGAAAGCAAAAATGTATATGAAAGTGCCTGATGAATGGGGGGCAACTATTTCGGAGAGTTATAAACAAGAATTGGAAAAACTACTGTATAATGCCAACAAGAAAATATGCAGTAAAAGTAGTACTAATAAAACTAAAACTGATCTTATTCAAAAAGCCATGATGAATAGTTTTATTAATTTAGATGAGAATGAAAAAATTAAGGTACATAATTTAAGTCCAAAAAAAATGGATCGTACGCAATTATTTACTAACCAGCAACAATCAAAAAATATTAATATGCAAAAGAATGTAGAATTTGATGAGATTTGTTCAACCTTCTTTGAAGAAATTGAACATAATTCCGTGGATACTGAGGCAGCAGAATCACTTCTTTTAAAGGAGGAAATTAAAATTGAATCAGAAGATGAAAATGAAAATGAAGATAAGAACGAAGAAAAAATTGTAAGTATAGAAATTGATGCGATTAATAGTGTAGAAGAAAGTGAGACTGATGGTTCACCACAACGAAAAAGATTCAAGACTAATGAACATTATTCAACTGCTGATAACGTAATTATTAATCCGAAACGTGGATTAGAACAATTTATAAAATATTTATGTCCTCAATGTGGAGAACAGCTTGAGAACCAAAAGCTTTGGCGACAGCACGTGTTTAACGATCACGACTTGAATAAATCAATAGAAAATAATTTTAGAATTGTGGATGATAAAAACTCTTACCTATGCTTAGAGTGTATGGAAGTTTTAAATTCAACTTCATCTGCAGAAATGCAACGCCACTACTTTCAACATATGCCTTATCGATCATATTTGCGTTGTGCTTTTTGTGTAAGGACAAAATCATCAAAGTTTAGAATACTGAATCATTTACAATCCTGCCACAAACAACAAATTGGGCAAAGTATCCAAGTATCAGATTCAAACAATCCCTTCTTCAAGTGCATGTATTGCGAAAAGGAATTTTGTACTCAAACTCTCTATCAAAATCATCGATCCCAATGTATATTAATTCGTCGCAATGCAAAAACCGATGATATAATTGCCAAAAATTCTATTTTACTCGAGCATTTAAAAGAAGCTAGTGAACGCATAAAACGTATTATGCAAAGCATGTAATTACTGCAAAACTTTATATATTTGTGTAGGTTATTATAAAAAAATATATAAATAAATAATTTTAGTACAAAGTTAAAATATCACGAATCTATGTGTTAAGTACAAATGTACATAAGAATATATGTAAAGCAAATTTTAAAAAGCCTACTTCTTAAATCCTTTATATAATAAAGTAAAGACTATCATTTAAAAAGAAAACATAAATATTTGAAATTTATTTTGAAATCCTAAAAACGGCATAGAATTGATGTTTTATCTTATCAAACACTGATTGCTAATTTATGTTTAGCTATTTATTGATTATACTATTTCATAAATTTGGTTTTTTTTTGCTAAGAGGCAAACTATATCATTCCTAAGTATTTTGACTCTCCAAATTTAAAACTGTTAAAAATTTAGATTCTTAATTTATACATAATAACATCATCAGCGTTGTAGCTCGGGGTGTTTTAGCTGCATCAACCAGCTTTCTACATTCTGCTGTTCTTTTAAACCTTCAATTTTGGATATTCATTTTTCTGATGTCATCGAGCCACCTTATACGTGGCCTACCTCTGCTGCGGTCGTTATACGGCGCGAATACATAAATAAATAAATATTTTAAGCAAATACGTCGTAAGATAAAGTATTTAATTGATATTTTAGTAAAACACCAATTTACGTTTTTATATGGAAAAAATTAATCTTTCAAAATTACTTTTACACATTTACAGTGAATAATAATTAACATTTTGACATAACAAATTATCCTTAACAACATAAACATGACATAATATAATTTACTTCTTTAAATTTTCGAAATATCACAAAACTGTCATTATTAATTAATATTTCCATATTAAACAAATAGTATTTTGCTTAAATATGTTGTCTAAAAAAAAATTTACTCTGCTACCTGCTACTGTTTTTGTAAAATGAAAAAATACAATTCAAAGTTATTATTCTTTGTGAAACAAAATAGCTGTTATTTAGAATATATTTTATTTTATTTTATATAAAAAAACTGCTATTGTTCTGAAAACTGATTGGCAGGATTTTTTTATCAATTTCGGATTTAACGATCCAAAATATTTTATAAATGATTTAGTTTGGTTGTTGATTTTAACAACAAATATTATCAAATAAAATAGTTTTGATAAAATTATTTGATTATTTATTATGGTCAGCAAATTCTTTTATGCATTTAAAACTGTTAATAGTGCATTAATCAAAGTTCTCATAATTTTTAATTATTTAATTCGTGTAGGATGCATGATATGGTTCCACTTGATTCTACATTGCTTAGCGCTATATTAGCCAAATGTGACTCATAGCGACGTAAACTTCTTTTTGCTGTTGATGTATATGTAGTTAAATTACGTAAAATCAATGCAGCAGTAAGGCGTATACTTTTAGTTACAGGACCTTCATTTTCATCCATTAATTCTTTTGAATTTACGAAGTCTGCTGTATGTCGCTTGATGGCTTGCATTGCTGAACTACCCGTTGATGGCAATGAACTGGTTGAAGAAGTTGAAAGTGCTGGTGAAGCGGTATTCCCACGTTGAGTTTGATCTAAGTTGCGCACTATTGTAACAGGAGATTGCGTAGATTGCACATTAATAGAACCAGTTGCAATACGGCGCTGAACAGCATTACGTAAACTTTCCTGAGTTAAGTGACGATCAATTATATGCGTCATAAGTGAATATCGTTTACGGGGCACACCATCACAAAGACTTGGGCCGATTCCCCATTGGCAGAATATTTCAGCGCCAGCATCTAAATGATCAGGACAATGTACAGTACATGCATGATGTTGTAAGTCATTTAAAGATTTGAATTTTTTTCGTGGACAATTACGCCAATCACAAACATACAACCAATTAATATCTACGGAAGACATGGAAGGTAACGGTGCTGATATGGGTGTAGAGTTTGCTGTTTGACTATTTATAACTGTTGAAGCAACTGGAGTCAAAACTGTGTTATTAACTGCTGTTGTATTTGATGTATTAGGTGTGCTATGTATAACTCCAGAAGTTTGATTTTGTTCGGCTATTAAGTTTGATTCATCTGGTTTTAACTGATTAATAAACTCTGCATCACTTACACTTACGTTCGATGTTTTGATGGTTGCTGTTGTTGCAATTGTAGTAGGAGTTTTTGTAGTTGTTATATTTGAATTTGTGGAATTTACAGCTAATGGGGGTGGTGGGATTAAACTAGTTTGCTTTAAAGTATTTGCTATTGACTGTGTTTGTTGTATTTGTATGACCGAAGAACTTTGTTTTTGAATTTGTGTGGTTCCTTGGGGAAGGATCGGCTTTTTAATAGTTGTAATTGTTGCTGACGTTGATCCAATTTGTGAAACTACACTCTGTATTGGTGTTTGTTGCTGTGGTGCAGATTTGGATTGTAACGTTCCCTGCATTAACGATGAGTTTTCATTTATCTTTAAAAAAATGGGACATCATATTGTTAAATTATACAATAATTTATAATATATTGTAAATACCTTTTGTGTTATTATTGTGGAGTTTGACTGCATTCCTGTATGCGTCAAGGGCAAAGTAATTTTTTGCTGTATTATGGAGGGATGTTGTTGCTGTTGTTCGATAACAGTACGTATCTGTTGCTGTTGTTGTGTTTGAGGTTGTGTCGTTATAATCGTCTGTGAGTTAAGTTGCGTTTGTTGCATTGAAGGCTGTGTCTGAGTAATTAGAGTCTCTTTTATTTCAATAGCACGTCCACCACCTAAAATTACCTGTCTTTTTTCTGCGGGGCCAGATATTATATGTTGCTGTATAATCGATTGATGTTGTTGTAGTTGTGGAATTTGTATTGGTGGTGGTGGGGTCGTATTTTGAACTATTGATACTGATTTCCCGATTCTCGAGATAGTTGCCGGTTGGTGAGTAAGTTGTTGGGACTGTACTGTGACTTGTGGTTGATGCAGTTTTATTGTTGCCGGTATATGATTCAATTGATTCAACAATGATGGTGATATCTGTCCAGCTTGTTGTGACGTAGTTGTCGCCTGCTGCGCTGGAGCAGTTTGAATGATTTGGCGTTGTATTATATTGTTATTGGATTGCGTTTGAGTGGCACCAGGCGGTAAGTGTTGGATATGAGTTGTTGCTCCAGTTTGTGGATTTATAAAAATTTGTTGCTGTGTTGGAGTTCCTATTTGACCATGGCCTCGTTGAGTTACAATAACTTGTTGACCTTGATGTGTCGTCATAATCATTTTTGGTGCATTGGCTGTAGTTGCAGTAATAATTTGTTGTTGTTGCTGTGATGCGGACGATGATATCGGTTGTTGCTGTAAAATGATTATTGTTTTAGTGCCTGTACTTTGTTGTTGTGCTGTTTGAGTTACAAGCACAGTTTGAGTAGGGGTTGTTGGAGGGTGCGCAGGTTGTGCTTGTTGAGCTACTAAATACGTTTGCCCATTTGGATTTGTAGCAAGTACGTACTGCGTCGGCGGTGTAGAATGAGGTGTAGTTTGCTATAAAACAAAAAAAATTAAAAATCAGATTTTACATCTACCACAAGTATAACTTTATTAATTTATCTTAAAAAAATCTATAAAAATTGTAAGAATTAAAAGAATTATACTTGTTAAGCATGCATATAGCCAAAAGATTAAGATCAGTATGGATAATATGATTAGTTTAAATTTATATTATACTTTATCGGAATAGATTTCCTTTTATAGATAAAATTAGGCTGGAATAGCGATTTTGCTTACCAAAGCCCACTTCATATTCTCTTTATATAAAAAACTATTCAAACCTGCATAACTTGTTGTATTATTTGTGGTGGAGGCTGTTCAATAGGTTTTTGCTGTAATATAACTGGGACAGTTTGTAGACCTTGTTCTGTTTTAATAGTAGCCATGGCTGTCGGCATATGTTGAGGCGTTGCTTGTGTTAATTTTAATTGTGGTGGTTGATTTTGAAACATCAGTTGACGCTGAACAGTTTGCAACGACGTATGTTGCACTTTTGCTGGAACAATTAATGATGGTTGCGTATTTTGTTCGGGTAATTGCTGTTGTCCTTGGGGTTGTGGAAGAAATGGTGGTATATCATCAAGTTCTTCGTCTTCTAAAATAGATGCAGCCATTTCGGCATATAAATTTGCCGCATTTTTTGAAGGCGTAACATTTTGTATTTCATCTCTAGCAGATTCACTACTGTCAAGAGCTAACCTTTTTGCTTGTTCATGTCCAATATTTGATGTGTCTTCTATTTTACGTTTTATTATCGTAGTTGGGATTGGTGGATCCAATAGTTTTTTATCAAGTATTTCCACTAACATTTGATTGGCTATAATTACAGATCTTCCACTGGAGTCTTTTGCAACATTATTCCCACTTAATGGAGCTAAAGGTGGTGGAACTGAATCTGTAATTGTTTTTTTTTCTAAAGACACTTGTGGATTAAGTGGTTTTATAGTAGTTTGGCCAACTTTAACAGGTGTATTTTGCATTAAAGGGTTATTAACAAGTTGACTAATCGCAGTGCTAGTAACTTTTATGGGCTGTTGAGAGGTCGATGCTGCTGTTGTTGGCATTTGAGAACTTATTTGTACACCGTTTGTTGCTGTTAGCTCCTTTTGCTTTTGTTGTCGCTGATTCACTTTATTAGCAAGTAAGCTTTTTATTAGAGATGATGATGGCTGGGCATTGCTTGTTTGTATAGTAGTTGTAGGGACTTCTTCTTTAACAATTGTTTGATGGATTGTTGATACAATATTTGAATTTGGCTGTTTACCTATATGGAAGAATTAAAATATGATTATGGTAAAGTATATATTCAATATATTTATTTACTTGTTATTTCATCTGTCTGTTTTGCTATACTTTCAGTTGAAGTTGCATTCATTGAATCTTGCATGATTGTCTCCGATTTTAGAGAACTTGGTAAAGTATTTGATTCTTCAATTTTTACAATGTTGTTTGAAGGTAATATAGCCGAATTTACACTGTTTTGATCTCCTGTTGAAACTGTAGAAATGGTATTGTTAACTTTTGTAGCTACTGCTGTTGTTGAAACTGCAAATGCAGTTTCGAATCCCACATTCAGTTGTTCTTCCTCGGCTTTAATTGGAGACTTTATTTCTTGTTGTTGA